TCGAAAATTAGGTTTTTGGGTATAGTTGTTTATCAATGTATGGTTAGTTATCGGTTTAGCGAGGGATCTTGGTTTTTTTAAAGACCGGTTTGTCTTTTGAGATATTGGAACCCCCCTTCTAGACCTTTTCCAAAGCGGTTTAGAAGGGTATGGTTAACTCATATATTATGTTCAAATTTCAAAGTTACGGGTTAACCGAATCCAACCAACTCCATACGTGTTTTGGTTTAGTTTGCATTGCAATGATCATTTGGCCTGAAAAAAAAAAGATCTCAAACCAGGCCTAACCAAACCGGTTCAAAAATCAGAGTTGCATTGAGATTGTGATAACATTATGGGATTCGAATGAGATGCTCTAAACCGTATGCGCAAATGATAAAATTGTTTTTTTTCTTTCTTTTGTCAACGGAAATGAAATTTGTTAATAACAAAATACAACATGATTACGTTTCTCCTACTATTTTTTTTTTCATTTTGGTTGTCATTTTAAGTCATTTTTTTAGTTCACTATATTGATTTTTTTTTAGTTGTCAAAATACAACACTCACATTTTTTTAATTCATTTTTTTAGTTCACTATATTGATTGTCCGAGATAAAAGATAATTGTTTGCAGAATTGCAGTTGCGTTCGTATGATATTTTTTCTCTTCATCAATTTCAGAATAAAAACGAGCCGAAGTTTCATCTCCAATTTAAAGATTCAAATTTATACTCTTGATACACTTATGTTATATACATTCTCAAAAGATTGTCAGATTGTGGGAGAGCATGCTTGTTTTATCTTATATGTTTATCGAGCCAAAAAGAAACATTTGTTTCGAGAGGTATTAACTATTCGCTGTAAGATGATTTCGTCACTGTTTGTTTGGCATTTTGGATAGCCTAAGCGGTTTTGGCGTTTGAAAAGGTGTCCTAGAACTTATGTCTCCGGTTCTTCCTTCGGCTATGTTTCTGAAGTTGTCTTCAACTGTCGACTATGTTTCTGGAATTGTGTATATAACCACGAGCTTTGTATTTCAATTTGTATCCCAATTTGTTTTTAATGAAAACCCAAATGACAAAAAAAAAACACACACACACACAGGGTGTACATTAAGTGGCCCACTCGTGTAAAATGTAATCACCCATTTGTTTATTATAAAAAACGAGAAAAATGCATAGAAAATAGGAGAAAGTGGAAAGAACGTGACACACTGACATACGCGAGTTTATAGATAACTGATAGAACTTTATTTAAATTAATTTCCTTCAAATTTTAAAAATCATAACTTTTTATCTTACCCCTTTAATTATATCGAGATCCTGTTTTTAATTACGAGTATTGTTGACGCTCGATCTTTTTGACATTAAAGAAAATTATCATTAATGGAAACAGACAAAGACAGAAGAGAGAGAGAGACGTGTGATTAAGTAGTG